GTCTCCCAGGTGGCTTGTGGCAAACTTTAAACGAGACTTTTTATGGATATCTTTAAGAAATGGCTTTCTTCTTGCCACTCTTCCATAAAGGCCAGATTTGTGCAGTATACGACTGATTGTTGTCCTATGGACAGAGTCTCCCACCTCAGCTGTAGATCTCTGCAGTTCATCCAGAGTGATCATGGGCCTCTTGGCTGCATCTCTGATCAGTCTTCTCCTTGTATGAGCTGAAAGTTTAGAGGGACGGCCGGGTCTTCGTAGATTTGCAGTGGTCTGATACTCCTTCCATTTCAATATTATCGCTTGCACAGTGCTCCTTGGGATGTTTAAAGCTTGGGAAATCTTTTTGTATCCAAATCCGGCTTTAAACTTCTCCACAACAGTATCTCGGACCTGCCTGGTGTGTTCCTTGATCTTCATGATGCTCTCTGCGCTTTAAACGGACCTCTGAGACTATCACAGAGCAGGTGCATTTATACGGAGACTTGATTTCATACAGGTGGATTCTATTTATCATCATTAGTCAACATTGGATCATTCAGAGATCCTCACTGAACTTCTGGAGAGAGTTTGCTGCACTGAAAGTAAAGGAGCTGAATAATTTTGCACGCCCAATTTTTCAGTTTTTTATTTGTTAAGGTTTGAAATATCCAATAAATTTCGTTCCACTTCATAATTGTGTCCCACTTGTTGTTGTTTCTTCACAAAAAATTACAGTTTTATCTTTATGTTTGAAGCCTGCAATGTGGCAAAAGGTCAAAGTTCAAGGGGGCCGAATACTTTCGCAAGGCACTGTATAGCTTTAGTTTGTCACCGTGTCATGCAAAAATCTACTTAGTCGTGTATGTTGACCTCCTTTTTGTTGGGACGTTCTAAGATGCTCTGCAGGACAAGATAATGAGTTAAATGTGTGTATTTTGGACCCACATTGCAATCGTTTGGCTCCAGAACACATTAGTACATTTCTTTTGCCCTTTTTTTTTTTTTTTTTTTTTTTTTTAAATATATTTGGGAAACTCCAAAGAAAGACTAATCGGACACAAATGTCATTTTGGAGGAGGCTCAATTGAGACTGCAGAAGCTTATCTACATATTCTATCAGCATCTACAGATCCTTTTGTGAAGCTTTAAAATGTCACATCCTCTTTTGAGTCCAGTCTGCGTTCAGTCGGAGTTGTTGGTTGAACTCTACAGTGATATGTGAACGTGAAAACACATGTATAATGCAGTCTAATATAAGAACAGCCCCCCCCCCCCCCCCCCCCCCCCAACCACCAGTTAAATAAAGTAAGTAAAATTTGATTAAGTATTAATTTGATTGAGTAACTGAACATTGCAAGCTTCACAGCATTAATAATAAAAGCAAGCCTCATGTATGGAATTACATTACACACAGGTATTACTGTCATTTTGTTGACTCTCTGTACATTACAGTGGTGTTTTGAATGACTGGTTACGTAAGGATAATTTGTCTCCTTTTTATTTGAGAACTATTCCATTTAAGGAGCTTTTCTTTCTCGTCAGGGGGTTGGCCTTCGATCCCATAGTTCTCCGCTGCTTGGCCTCTCCCTCTGTTCCTTGTGGTGAGGAGAAGACACTGTTTTCTGCTGGGAAACTGCTGAAGCATTTCCTCCCCGGCACACTGTTTTCCCTCACTGTGACTTTTTGATTGAAGGAAATGAGGCAGCAGAAAAAGAGATCACAACGGTGGTTTTCATAATCCCCTCCATATCTTCATCTTCTAGTTCAGACAACCTGTGACAGACGCATGCATGTTGGGAAAGCCGCTTGTCCTGTGGTATGAAAGCTGTGATCACTTGTTGATGGATTTATTTATTTTTTTTCTTCACCTTTTGAAAACTCTTTCTGTCACAAAGAGGCAACGTATCTGACATGATCGGAGACGGTGTTTTTTTAAAAGCTTTGCAACGTATATTCATTAGAGATTTCGATGTGAAACTAAGCAAAAGGAAGGTCTTTTCTCATTTTGTGCTCAATCATTTCAGCTTTTGTGGCTTGGCTGTTGTGTTTGTGACACAGCGAGTCATCGTGACAGTGCAGCCCACATGGTGGTCACACTTGCACCTACCATGGTCTGAGGTGTCACATCTCTGTTGGCAAAATATGACTTGGATAATTATAATTTCTGTCTCGAGTGCATTTAACTTAACTTTGCCAATTTGTTGGACTTTATTCAAGATTTAACCAATGTCTCCACTGGGTCATACTTAGCTAATGAGTTTCTGGAAAGGCCTAATACTGATAAAGGGATTAATTGCAGAGCTTTTCCTTCTGTATTATACAGCCTGGATGAGGGTTGGCTCATATTAACGACAAAGTAAAAAATGGATGAGCCTCCCATTTCTGAGGTGACAAATGTGACCTCAGTGCTGCTCTGCCTCATTATATCTCACATCAAATACTTGGAATTAAAAGGGGCAGTTTGATGTTTAGCTCAGTTGAAGAAGCAACGTTTCTGACTTTGAGGATACAAGTGGCTACGACAGTCATGAATGGAAGCTTAAAACCATATGAACCCCTTTTGCTGTAACAACATGACGCATTGCTGTGGAGACAGGTTTGAACGTTAGAATTTGTCAACAAGTGACAACATGACAGTGCAGAAAGAGGTTGTTACTTTGCCTTGATGAACCCACCAATGGGGCATTACTGTGTCAGCTACACAATTTTTGTTTTTCAATCTTAAAGGCTTGGCTGACATGCCCAGACAAAGTTAGGAGTTGTTGATCATACTCAACATTGCATTTCAGCGTGCCAATCTCGACAAATCATGTAATTTGATTAAAATGTCGTGTGTGCATGAAACGGGACAGAATTTAAACAAAAAATCTCAATTTCATGTTTGTCAGTGGATTTAGATTTTCTCCTAAGTATATTTACTACCATCTGTATGCTGAAGGAACGGCAAATCTAAACTGTTTTTCCTCTGTTGAGCTCATATACATCGCTAAGTCAGGTGAAGGGAACAAACCTCTGAAAGGGCAAAAAAATGGTCATGAACAAACATGTCAGACGAGTGGAAACTTACCTGTTGTGGCATCAGATGAGAAGGTTTTTAATTTTTGTTTTATGTACAAATTTTATCCCTTGAACAGACTGAAAGCACAGGCTTTTGAAAGCTCTGATCTCCATCCATCCGACAGACATGATTTATTCAGAAGAAATATCAGACAAGCGTAATTGTCATGCCAGTATTCAAGCAGTTCCTGATCTGATTAAGGTATAAATCCCTCGGATTGTAGCTACTCAGTAATAGTGGCTGCATGACAGCTTGATGTTGGACATTAATGCAGACTAAAAGTAAGAGAAGGTGATTTATTGATAATACCCTGACTTGAAGTGTGTTTGGCCAGTAGAAAACGTGATTCTCTGCATTCGTTTGGCCCATGCCTGGTTTTGGTTGACATTCTGTCCTGTATCAGTCAGTGGGTCTGTCGGGGTTTGGCGGTGGACAATGTTGATTACATTTGCAAATCTTAGGATGGAGTTTTACACTGTCCTTGAGTGTAGTCTTGGCTCATTTATCTTGCAGTTTTTCAGTTTTTACGCATGGTACCAATGTTACTTTGGCTACATCTGTTTTGTAATTACAGCTGCTGCATGTGGTTGAGTTTTTAAGTGTAAAACCTGACTGTTTCCATTCGAAGACGTAGAGCCTCATTGCAGATTGACCCCATGTGGGCCAGGCCAGGCTCAGAGCAGTTTTACTAATAACAGGAAACATGGCCATGGCTCAAGATGCTAATTAGCAGTTGCCCTGAGCCTGATTACAGCAGGAAGCATGTAGTTAACATGCAGACGTGCTCTGAAACATCAGAGGTGATTTACCCATGCGCTAGCTGTGCTTCACAAACGGCAACGAAAGAAATATCACAATAAAAATTATGTTTGTTTGACACTCACTAGCGGAGATATGCACGGTTTATGCTTTTATAACAACAAGGTGCACTTTCAACCCCAAATTGAACTGTGATGTGTGTTTTGCAGCAGCAGCACAACAGGCTCCATCATGTCTCTGGAGAGTGAGGTAAACTTGTGATAACAGTCAGCATTGCTGTAATATCATTAACATTATTATAGCTGATTGCAGAGTCTCAGTGCTGAATCAACTGCAGCTCAATAGGAGGACTAAGTTATAACTCTAATTATTCACAGCCAACACAGCCTGGTACTTCATACCATGGCCAGTACCACAGCATTAGACGGACATGAAAGGGCTAGGTTTTTTCTAAAGTATCCTGGTGTTCTGCTGCTCTTCCATGTTGAGAGGGGTAGTGGAGCTGGAACAGGAACCAGGGTAGGATGCCTCCCTGAGACTGACCTTTGCCAGCGTAAAGATTCCTGATAGAGCATTACATGATGCAAATGTCTTGTGGTTTTTAGAGGGATCTAGAAAAGGCAGGATGACGTGCACGCGTTTGGGTTCACTGCAACACAGAACTATTGTTGGGGTTTTTTTGCTCGCAAGTTGAAGGGTTTTGGTAAAATGTCACTGTTATTACATCCTTGTTACACCTGTCTGTCATTTCTTTGCCTGGCCTTTGTTCTGGGGCCTGACATAAAAGGGAGAGATGGGGCCTACATGCTGCCTTTTGGCCCAGATATATGTAGTGACTGTGTGATCTATTCATTGTCACTGTAATTTAATATGACATTCAATAGATGGTCGAGTCACCAAGCCCTTTTCAATTTTCTTTTCTTTTCTTTTCTTTTTGTCTCCTTGATTATATTGATGAAAGCTCCTAGTCTCGGTTGTCATTGGAAACGGGAGCTGGGAAACATGGTCTTAATTTGAGGCTGGGCTTTGTATTAAAAGCATGGTGCTTTTCCAGCCAGCGCATCTTTTATATCAAAGTGCCAGACATGTAACTACTTGTTCCGTGGATTGTTCAATTTTGGTCTTGTTGGCCTCAACATTTTGTAATCTTGTTGTTGAATCAACAATAATGTCAACATTTATGTTTTTTATTTTCTTACAGGATACTTTGCAGTCAGTGGGATGTTAGAGCTCTGGAAGCAGGACTGACTGAAGGAGCATGGTGAAACACCAACCCCTCCAGGTCTATGAGCGGCAGCTGTGTTTGTCATGTATCACTGGGATCTACGGTTGCCGCTGGAAACGCTATCAACGTTCCCATGATGACACCACCAAGGTGAGGGGGGGGGGGGGGCTGCTGGAAACACCTTTTTGTAGGTAAAGTACAGCAGTTAGTATTGCTGCATATCTGGCTGTCTGTGTAAACACAACATAGGCTGGCACAATGTAGCATATTGCATACAATGAAGATACAGTACAAGTGCATATGGTGCTAACCAGATCATACACATAGCCCATGAGCACCTTCAGCAGCCAATCAAGTCAATGACAGAATGATGTTTGATCGACCTTGTTTGAATCTTTGTACTGATTCACATTGGGGACACTATAGATAACCCTTTTCATGTGGGAGTGGGTGGGGGGGCATTAATGGTTTGACCCCAGGGTACATGGAATTGTAAAAACAACACAGGTTAGCAAAACAGTATGAAAAAGACTTCAGACTGACATTGCTGTCATTGATTTTCACACAAGGTCGGTCATTCACTCACTCACTCACTCACTCACTCACTCACTCACTCACTCACACATCAGGTTGGCAGTGAATGAGACCTGATCACCTCATTTTGTGTCATTTATCCCATTAAGGTCATTTTTTCGTAATAACCCTGCAAGAGTCCTGAGAGAGATCGATGAATCTTTATCATTTTTCAGGTTTTTAATAACATTCTTTTTTTTATGTGAATTTCTATGAATTTTAATTGAAATTGTCTGTTTTCTACTTCTTCCAATGACCTACACCTTACATTTTTGACAAAACCTGTGTCTGTAGATTTTTGCTGCTGAATTTCACAACTGTTGTAGCTGTTACATTGTGAGTCTTTTCACAGCTCCGAATAACAAGATGGCCATAATGAAAACATTGGATAGACTACCAACACAGCAAAATGAAGTGCCTTAACGACAAAAGTCAGAAATACATTACCTGCGGATTCAATAAGGGGGGGCGTGTGTGTGTGTGTGTGTGTGTGTGTGTGTGTGTGTGTGTGTGTGTGGATGGAGGCAGACAGAAAGCACAACCAGATTTGGGCTCCTAATGGCTAAAAAGCAATACAGTTTTCTTATTGTATGCTGTTACTGTACATTGGTAAAGACTTTATTTGACCACTAGTCAAATAAGAGGGGCTACTTTCAACCAAACCAAAATATCCGGATGTGCTCATCTATACCCAATCTGAATTATGCAGTTTATTTTATGAAGGCTTTCATTTTTTTTTTTTTTTTATCACATTTGTAGCCAAACTTTTTTTAATAATATTTTAAGGCAGTGTAGAACCAGAACAGCCACTCAACTCTCAAGCAAAAAAATATGGCGCACACACACGAGATCAGCAATTTGTCCTGACCTTTCCCTTTATCTTTTCTATTCCGTATTCAGGAAGGACATGGAGGTTATGTTGCTGAAATAAACACACAGCAAAAGCCCTTGTGTGCGTACACATGCACCCAGACACTCGGTTGAATAATTTATTTATAGCCACATAACATACTGTAGACAAGCCGAAACCTAGGACACAGACAATAGACTCGTGTCAGTCAGTGCGCACACACAAACACACATATGCACAAAAGAAACTTATTTATATTACTTATATTTGATAGATTTTGATCATATTAAAAAAACAGAACTTAATACAGAAAGATTTCTTTTTTTCTTCTGTTTGCAGGAAACTGGATGCCGTGTAGGTCAGTTTCCTGTTGCAAGTGGTTGTCTTTCAGGCTAACTGATAGAGTGCAGAGTCAGCATTCTTTGTTCCCAGTGCTCACACTTTGTTTTGACCGTTTGCCGGTGGATCGCACTTGCCTTGACCCCAGAGTGCAAGAAGCCCACAGCTGGGCACATGTACTCTGCAGGCAATTTTCATTCATTTGCATCAGGAAGTGGATATTTCCCCCCTCAACATTGTTTTAATTTATTTACATAAGTGGAGAGAACTTGAAAACAGATAAAGCTGTCATTCCCACTGAGAATGCTTCCTAGCGTGGGCCAAGGTTATAGATACAAGACTGAATCATTAACGATCCCAGTGAACAAACTGTGACCAATCAAGGACATGTAACATGACCTGAGCGAGTCACAGAGGCGTAAGAATTGAGACTCTCTCATGTTGAAACAACTGTAGACTCATTCATAATCCACAAGTGGATCATGCTATTTCTCCCGCCTTTGTTCACTGTAATGAACCGTTCAGGTTGACTGGCTGTATTAGGGAAGCCGCTGTCTGTGTTGAAGGTGCTTTTATAGGAAGACGACCCACGTCATGCAGTGCAAACTGATCTGGCCTCTCAGTAATAATTGAAAGAATTTCCGTTTAGCCAGTCTTTACCATTCAGCCACACAAAGGCTTCAAAAATAGAAGCAAAGCTCCTCTGCCTTCGTTTGTCATTGGTCTTGTGGGCTTCATTAGGCCTGTCCTGTGAAATGTTGGACAAACAAGACAACACAGTTACCAAGAACTAGCAATTGTACGTACCTGGTTGCAGGAACGATGGTGACTCCGCAAAGTGGCATATTGTTTTCTTTTATTCCATGCAGAGTACAATCTAATATACATGGTTATCTTAGCCTTAGATTAATTAATGAAATAGAAAAATGGTGGGTTATGCTGTAGATGTCAGAATGTGGCTGGTGTTTAAGTGAGGTACAGTTTTTCAGTAGTGACGTAATTCAACTGCAGCATTCTCTACGATATAGCAATACATATTTAACGCTACACAGTAATGGTTTTAGATTAGATCTGCTGTCATTTTGGATGATACATCAGCCTCCTGAGTGCAGGTATCACCCAATTATCTCAAAATGCCAGATATCCCTATTCGTTTTTGTTTTTTCAGTTTTTGGACCGGTGACTGGAATTCATTTCTTAAGGACATCTTTCAGCTAACTTTTTTTCTGTCTTTTGTATGCCTGATCACATACTTGTCCACTGGCTTTCCCTCTAGTGGTCAGACTGAAAGGTCATAAGCGTCAATAAATCAGATGTGAGGTGACTCACTGATGAGGGTGTGATGGATGGTTAGGTGAAGTTTTAATGTAAGTAATGGTTAATCATTCATTCACTTAACCTATTTTTATTTTAACTCGAAATGTTGAAGTTGCTGTCATTTGCGAAGATGTCAAGTTACATATAAGTTAAAATAGTTTAAGCAACTACACATTGAGGCAGGGAGGTTTGTCATCATGGTTTTGAATTATCAATATGTTGGTAGAAACTTTATATTTAGCGTGCATTGAAGATCATTCCAGGAATTTGGGGCACTAAAATAATAAGACAGACTTTCCAAATTCAGTCCGTGTCCAGGCACCTTGAGTGTAAGCTACTTAGGGGCCAAAGTACCACTGCAAAGCATCACTGAGAGCTTTCCTGTGTGTGTGTGTGTGTGTGTGTGTGTGTGTGTGTGTGCGTGTGTAAACAAATACCAATGTTTATTACACCTTTTGTGCCAGAGAAGACCAACCCACCTTATCATACAGGATACAATGGTGAGTCCTGTAGCTATCACCAGTAATAAATCTGAGGACAGAATGATAGACCATGTCCAAGAGTTTAACAGTGGAAGGAGCAGCATTTCAATAAATTACATCTCCAAAATTCAAACCTGATCATATAACTGCTTCAACAATCCTCTTTCTGCTAATTATAGGAAGCTGGTTCTGTTTCTGTCAAAAAAAAGCCAGTTTTCTGACAAGATATGGTATTTAACATGACCAATTTATAGCTTCCCAGTGTCGTATGTGAAAGTAATCTTCAAATGTATTGTTTTGTCTGAGTCCAAAATATTCAAACGTTGTTGGCTTTAGCTGGGCTTTAGGAAATTATGATCAGGTTTTTTTACTATATATTCAGACATTTTATTGACAAAATATTAATAGATGAATAGATAAAAATCCAGACAAACTCTAACTATGACCTAGATGACTGAGAATCTTCAGACAATAGATAAAAATCAGCAGATTAATCCATGATGGAAAATTACCGGTAGTTGCCGCCCTACACCTCACACTTACTACAATTCAAAACAATAATTGTCTTTTTGATAAGAGATTAAATTAATTCATAGAAATGTGTTCCTCTCACGGCACAGCAATTAATATATTTAATGGGGTTTAAAAGGCAGAAGCAATACTATAATGTCCTACACATTTAGTACATTAGAAAATAAAACTTTTTGTATGTTTTTAAAAAAAACAAAAAAAAACAAAAATAGGCTGCACTGATATTTCTGTATTTGTTTTTTAGCGTAGTGGGTGATATGTCCATGTATAGAAAGTGGAGGTTTTGTATCAGAATCACCATCTGTGGCATTAAATTTTACAGTGTGTGTATCGCTCCTGTTGATATAGCCACATTATAAAGCAGTGCACACCCGGTGTGAAATACCAGGGACTTATGTGGATATGCTCAGGAATGTGACGAGGGACTGAGGTGTTAAATCCGGTGAAGATGGAGGCAAAGAGACTGGCATGTAAAGCTGTGCCTCAGGGAAAGAAGCACAGTCAGTAAAAGGAATAACCGTGTGAGCAGCTTTGTCTTTTTATGTGAGCTGAATAAATGTCTCTCCTACATTAACATAAGAGTTTTATATACACACACTCACACACCAATATTAGCTCTTTATTTTTGTCTGCCCGTATTTGTTTGACTGCAAGTTGGTTCTGTCCCACACCATTTTTTCTCTCCGCAGTGTTGGCATGTTAGATGGCAGCATACTGAGTCGAGCTGCCATAACTAATTGAATGCATCATTTAAAAGTGCGTTGTCTGTATAGTGGCAGAGATCTGTACTGAAATGATCTGCCCAGAAAATATTTCCAGCATGACCTACGATTTGGAGAAAGTCATATTGCGATGACAAAATACTGACACTTTTAAATGTGTATCTCTCAGCAGTTAAACAATCACAGGACCAGTTTACACTGTTACAGTACAGTTTCTTTTTGTCATCAGTCCAAACATATTGACATTTTGCACCATTGTCAGCAGCTTTTTGAAACCCTCCTCACAGGAAAAACTCTACTGTGACCAGTGCATTGTGGCATGTGGGGCTTGTAGTT